GGGGGCCCAGATGGGTCCAGGTTGCGCGGTGGCGTCACGACAACCAGGCTAAATGTTTAGGTTCAGATCCGGTGTGCTTGAGCAAGAATCAAGCTCCAAGTCGACGCTGAATGAGCTGCTGCAGCATCTTCAACTGCGCGCGCTCGTCATCAGTGGGCGGTGGTGGGTCTGCGTTGGACATGGCGGTGATGACGGCCGGGGGAGCTTCGGACTGTTTCACGTGGATTAGCGCCGATGATCAAAACAAGGCCGGTGGGCCACAGGCTGTCTTACAGTGAGACCGAGGATGAGCGCTTGAACTGTGCCCTCACCCAGGTTCATCTCCGGCGTCTTGTTTGCCAGCTGTGCCAGAGATAGTGCTGCTTGCTGCTGCTGGAAGTTGTGCGCAAGGAAATTTTGCATGGACGCTCTGCGCTGTGATGCAGCGTCTGCGGACTTGCGGGCTTCGGCCTTCTTGACTACACGGCCACTGCGATGTGTTAGTGACTGATATGATGAGCTGCTGATGTGACTGTATATACCTCTTGACCTTGCTGACGAAGTCAAGGATGACTCCCTTCTCCGGAACGCGGAAGATCTTGGAGTTGACATCCTTGGGATCGTTGTCACCAAACACATAATTGCCTTCGCCATCAGTGTCGTCGTCAGGATCATTAGTGATATCGATCAAACCATTGTTGCGCATGCCACGTGAAAAGGTGGGCTCAACGTATTCAGGTTGCTTGCGCACACGCACTCTGCGTGGCACCCGAGTTACCGGCGCGGCATCGGCCATTTCAGAATCCCCATCTTTGGAACTCAGGTCGTTCTGCAGCAGTAAACCGCTGCGGAGGTCATGCTCGATATGTCGAGGACACCTCCAGGCATCCCGCTGCGATGCCTCAAGGCTGATGTGTGGTGGGTTAGCGAGAGGCGGGTCGACGCAGTCCAAGTGCCAGTACGCGTGACAAAAGTCACACTTCAGCATCTGACGCTTGTGGCCGCTCGACACTCCGCACTGCGTGCATAAAATGACTTTGTGGTCAGCATCAATAAGTCTGGTGTATTCGGGCTTCTGGTAGCCATAGCCACTGTTCTTCGCTCTGTTGTGATGTTAGTTCCAAATCACGCGACAGAACGCGTCACACTTACAGTGGAAACTTCTTGACCTCCTCAAAATACGAGCCGTCGGGACGTGCAGAAACGCCTTCGAAGTTATTTTGAATATCAGAAGGTAGAGCAAACGCGCGAGGATTTGTGCGCTCAAGCTTGCTGAAGAGGGGACCCAGGCTAGGATACGACTCTGCGGCATCGTCGGATGCAGCGAACTTCGTGTTGCACTCATAACAGTAGAACGCTCCATCTGGAACCTCTGTTCGCGGCGGATCGCAGCAGAGAAGGTGAAAGACGCGTGGACAGTTTTCGCAGCACACAAACTCGCCTGCGCCTCTACACGCAGAGCAGAAGTCGTCGCTCTCAGATTGTGGCGAGTTCTGACATTCCGTTAGAGGTGAAGAAAGGACAGAAAGTGGAGGAGAATATGGAAATTTGAGCGGCGTGATGTTTGTAGTGAGCAACATTGATGTTGGGGATGAAAAAGAGAAATTGTTGTTGATGAGTTGTGTGGTGGAAGAGGAAAGGTGTGGTTGGATGCTTCGGGAATCCAGTGGCACTTACCGGGTCATTGTCATCAGGCCCCAACTGTCTCGAACCGCCACCGCCAGTAAAGGCTACACCAGCAATAGGTCCTGCGTCTCGGTTTTTGACCGGCCTATACGTGTAACAGTTAGCCTTGTAATGATTTGATGACATGTACGGAATGTACGATGCAAACACGTGCAAACACGTAGAGCTTGCTCAGTCGACGCTTACAGCCCTGTGCTGAACCGGGTACATGCATCGACCAACGCCGAGAAATTGACAAGGATGCTGAGAAAATGAGCTGAGGATACTTACGATCGTTTTGTCCTGGCGCCCTGCCCGTTGGTGAGCTTGACCCGCTTAGGTGCCGGCCCCACTGCTGGCGTTGAAGGACGCGACGACATAGCAGGCTCAAACTGAGGTGAGGAGAATCGCGACGGGTCCTCTCGCAGGCGCTTGGTGCCATGATTCGGAACTCGTCCGGCGCGTCGTGGTTGATCAGAATCCACAGGTGGTCCCACGGCGATTTGAGAGTCGGTCAGAGACTCAGTCTCAAGAATCTCGTCATCAAAGCGAACATCAGAAACGGGAGGAGGGAACTGCTCGAACTTGCGGATAGGCTGCTGGTCCACCATAGCTTTTCGCATCTCATAGATTCGGTCATCTTCCGCTTGCTGTTCTGCGGTCGGTGGCTGTTGCTTGTACGCATGCTTTCCGAACAGCTTCCCAGCATTTCCTTTCATCTTTTTAGCAGCACGCGCAGCCGCAAGATTCTTTCCCTTCTTCGGTGGCACGACAGGCGCAGGTGCAGCGGGTTTCCCATTGACCTGCACAGGCTCTGGAGGGCCTTTCTGGACGATCTCTTCGTTGACATCCGACAGCTCAGAATCGCTCCCACCAGTGTCCGGTGTCCTCGCTGCTGGAGTGGGTGCTCCGGTCGACAAACCTCCGTCCACATCCATTGCAGAATCCTGGGCCTGAGTTCCGTTGGTAGCGGTTCGTTTTCTAGGCGACTTGGACGGCTGTCTCGGCGTTGACTCAGTTGAGGTATCCGCGGTTGCCGGAAGAGCGGGAGCGCTGCTGAACGGGTGAGGTGCTTGACCTGAATTCTGGTCAAGAGCTGATTGCAATGCTTTGTGCGAAAAGCTTGTGGCCGAATTAGTAGAGTCCATGAACTTTCGATCTTGGTAGTCATTGACGGCGGAGGCAGAGTCATCAGGAACAATTTCACTGCTGGCTCTTGGAGACGGCTGCTGACTGAAGAATGAGGCTCCGTGATTCATCGCGGATTGCTGGTCATAGCGCCCGTTCTTGCTCAAGCCCATTCTCGCCTTTTCCTCTTGCTTGAACTGCTTGATGAACCTGCGAAATCGAACCATCTGTGCATTGGTGCTGTTTCTTTGAATAACTGATTCGATCGCGTCTGCCAAGTTGGAATCGATTTTGCTCTGCTCGTAGGCGCGCCTCAAGGCGATGCCCACGTAACGCTTGCCCGAGTTACTGTTGGCTTTGGAGATCGCATCGTTGACCGCAATCTGTATGCGCTGAGTCGTAGCCTCAACCGGCTCCGACATGGAGACTGCCTGTACTGCCGGGCTCGCGGAAACCGAGGCGCTCTTGGTGTGACCGATTTTCATTGTGGGCGTCTTGCCGTTGACAGGTGTCTTGCTCTGCACTGGGGTCTTGCCCCTGATGGGAGTTTTCGACACCTTCACTTTCTTCTTCGGTTTTGTCGCGGGCTCGTAGTCGTCGTCCTCGTCGTCTTCGAGAATGGGGAAGGCGGCCTGCATCTCTTCCTCCTCCTGCCGCTCCGAGTCGTCAGGCTCGAGCTCAGGAGCTGGAGTGACCTCTGGCGTCGACCCAACCTCGTCACCACCGAAACCCAAGCTCTTGCCCAATAGCGAATTTCGAGCCGCCGGCCCGTCAAGCGCGCGCGCGCGCTGCTTGTCCTTGGCCTTTGGAGGTACACCGAGGGGGGCCATATTCTCCAGGACGCCGTGCCGCGCAAACCCGTGCTCTTCGAACGATGGGGCCAGAGTTTGCGGTTGGGGTTCAGTCCACTCGGTAATTGACCGCTGCTTCTTCTCGTTGACGTGCTCGCTCGGGGTGCCGGTGGGTGAGGCGAAGGGCGTGGTGCTGGACCTTTGTTGCGATTTGAAGTCGCGCGACTCCCGGAGAGACTTGCGGAGGGCCGGCATGGCGAAACTACAGTTTGGTCAGCGCGCTAGAATAATCACGAGCATGATTAGACTTACTTCACGTGTTGTCCGAGAATTTACACGCCGCAATGCCGTGCCCGTCGTTGTGGGTCGGTAGTGCAGGAATGAGAGTCGCTGAAGGTTGTTCGAGGGTGCCCTGGACGCTTGGACGGACCTTCTTATTATGTCAGCCCCCTACGCATGCGCAAACATCGCCATGTCTTACTGTCGTCAGGAATGGAATATATGAATAGCCGGAAACTTCTTCGGTTGTCTGATTGTTTTTTCGGTTCTGACAAAGGCGGGGTGCGGTGTTGGTGCAACGATACCAAAGAATCCACGATCTCTTGTCCGCTTTTTCCCTGACGTGCCCAAGTTCACCTTCACCAATCGCCACTTGCAGATCTGGTCGTACAATACGTAGACGCGCGCCTGAATAGAGATGATAGTACTGACATTGTTCCTGACTTCACTTCGATAAATCTCTCAAGCACACTCCTGTCTTTGCATGATCTGCTCAGGGGTAAATTCCGTTCCATGCTTTACCTCACTCTATACCATGCTTGGCTATCCGCGTAGAGCACCATAACTGTCGTATATTGTAGCGAAGAACATAGTCGGGAACCTCTTGTAGCTTCTCTCATCTTACCATGTTCAGCGCTTAGGGGGATAATAACATGATGGATGGACAAGATGAATGGGATACAAGAACAATGACGCGAAGTCGCCCGACACCCACTCAATCCTTCGCTACAACTCGAAAACAAAAGGCCCCTCTCGAGATGACATGTATGTATGTCGCGCCCACGGGCTCTTCGATACGAAGGGGGATGAAGCTATGTTCGACTGCGAGAGACGCCCCAGACCACCTGATACGATCTCAGTCCGTGAGCCGTCCGTAAGTCCTTGAATGCGCGCGTGTTAGCTACCAGATTCTTCATTGGTCAATATCACGCATAGGGAACGACAAATGCTGGCCGGTAAATAGGTGTCTGTTTTTTTTTTATTGTTATCGCTTCTACTTGATCATGTGCACGAGCACAAGACAAAGTACATCAGACCTAGGTCTTTTGCCGATTTTCTTTCCGATCCTGCCATTTTTTGCAGTCACCAAAAAAGTCCGTGTCGTCCAGGCTCATAGTCGAGAGGCGGGTATGGCTTCAAGGTCTCCGCAAGCTGCGTCTACTCCTCGTCGTCACTCTCCTCCTCTTCGGCAGGAGCAGCACCGCCGTCAGCGGCCTTCTTTGCGGGCTTCTTCTTCTTCTTCTTGTTCTTCTTTGTCGAAGTCTTTCCAATGGGCTGCTCGAGAATCTTGAGGATCTCCTCATCCTCAATCTTCTTGTCAGACTTGTACTTGGAGGTGTCGATGGCAGCGGGTTGAGCCAGGCGCTGCATGCCGTTCTTGGTGATCGCTGTTAAGATGTTAGCTATCGAAGCAAGATTCATGATCCTTCGCAATCAAGCAAACGAAAGTGGAAATTTGGAGATCAAGCAACCAACCACATCGGCCAATATCGGGCATCTCCGTGCACAGACAGAGCAGGGGAAATCCTCGGACTTACCAACAGTGCTGAACAACCTAGCTACGGGCTGGTTGTCCTTGTCAACGACAACTTCGTATTGGCGGAGCACACCTGTGCGGACACACTCGACAACACCAACCTTGGCAGCCTTCTCGTCCTCAAGCTGGCGCAGACTGAAGGGGAAGGTGCCGAACTTCTTGACAACTTCAGACAACAGGCTTCGTGAGGTAGGGCGCTTGAGCTGGTAGGTGGTGGCTGTACGTCGGTGCAGAGTGGTCCTGTTGCTGTTGCTCTTGACCTTGCCGCTTCCGAGACTGACACCCATCTCAACACCCCACACTTCGCCGACCTCAGGGAGACCCTCTCCTCTGACACCCTCGCCGGGCGCAAGAATGATCTTCTTCTTGGACTCGATCTCGTTGTGGTCGAATTGCCAGATGGTGGTGCTCTCGACGAGGTTGCAGCCGTACGCCTTGACAACCTTCTCAAGCATGTTGGTCATTTGGCTCTGAGTGTAGGCCTTCTTTGACGCAGCCTTCTTTTGCTCCTCCTCGTCGCCGTGGGGAACCAAGCCTGGGGGTACCATCAACCTCAGCAGAAGCTCGTTCGCGTAGTGTGTAGCCAGAATGAGATCTGCCTCCCGTCCGGTGACTTCATCGGCAGCTCCGACGATGACATTGTCGCAAACGATCGCGCAGAAGCCATCGATTTGGGCACCCAGCTGGATCTTGACAACCTCTCCCTCCTTCAGTGTCACGGCGGCTTCCTCGGCGTCGGTCTTGAGTGGTGTGTACGGGGTGATGTAGGCGCTCGGCGAGATGGTGGTGCAGTGTCCAATGCCCTTGAGGACCTTCTTGCCCTTGTAGACCTTGGCAACCTCCTCGTCTAGGAGCTTGTCACCGCGCTCACAGAGCTCGACAATGCTGGCATCAGCGGCGATCCATCCTGGACGGGTCAGTTTATGTTCGTGTTTACGCGCTGGACACAAGCGCAAGTGTGGGGAGCGTCGTACCGGAGACCTCCTTGAGGACTTTCTGGGAGATGTCGGCGGCGACCTTGTACTTGGTGATAGTATCTGGGTTCGCCAGAGTGTAGTCTGCAATATGGGTTAGCTTCTGCGACCCATTGACAGCACAAAACTGAGGTCGAAGCTCTTTTCGTCTGAATAGCTTCTCATGTCGATGGCATTAATAGCGCACAAGGATCGAGCTTACCGACAGCTGCTGTTTCGGCCATCTTGAGTATAGTTGAGTGTGGGAAGATGGTCTAGGAGCTAGAATTGGAGTGGTGCGCGAGGTCGTTCCTGTGTTCAGGCCAGCCCCTCAGTGGGGTGCTTTCGAGCTTTCGCTTAGCCAGAGCCCAATGACGATGATCGCCTGACAACGTCACACTCGACCTGCTTTGCTTGTTCCTGGATTAATTATCTTGGGTATGGAAACTGGACTTGTGATCACGGTAATTACTGTTGCGAGCTCGTACTTGGGGCCTCAGCTGGAATTCCCATGATTGCAGAGCAATCCATGGATTTCATTGCGGTTACGCTGCTGTATGTATGCCACGCTGCTGACAGCTTCGACAGCGTGCCATCAGGCGCCAGACATTTGATGACATCGAATATAGTGTTCCTGGCAAATGAACACATCCATGTTATTAAATCGTTTTATACCATCCCCACTCTTGTGATGTACTTCGCATCCCCAAAGAATATTTACAGAGTAAGCGCAATTTTCCGCAAACCTATGGGTATTTCATCGATACGGAATCGCATTCATGATAGAAGATCATAGTGTCATCCCCACAAACAATTCCTTCTCCCCCCACCTCATGCGAAGAAAAAGCAGAACAACATGGGGCCTACATTAACATGAAAGATGCAAAGTGTAGGACCCAACGTCAACGTAGGCTCCAGGGTGTCCAGTGTTTTCCTTGAATGAGGTATCCCTAAACCTCCAAAACCCCATCCACAACCACCGCGCGATGATCGCTCGCATAAACCCCATCCTCAAACCGATTCGGCAGCACGCTATAACCCTCAACACTCCAATCTCCCTCTCCCCTCGGTCCCACGAAAATAAAGTCAATCAGCGACTTATCCACATCGTCGAAAGCTGTATACGTATTCTCATCACCATACAGCCACTTAGCCTGCTCCTTCGTGTCCTGCAGAAGAGACGACGCGTTATTCAGCATCATGTACGCATCATCCGTAATCTCAGAGTTGAGGTCGCCAGCCAGGAAGAAAGGCAGGCCAGTAGACGAGAAGTTTGAAGCCGGGGAAGCGATATCCGCAGCAATTCCTTCGATGATCTTGGCGGACTCGCGGCGCGAGATGGCGCCTGCGTTGTCGAAATGCGTCGACATGGCTACTATTTCCTTCTTGCTTGTCATGTGCTTGAACGTGCCGATGGTCACGATGCGAACGGATCCTGCATCCCAACCTTTCTTTCCAACGGCTCCGTCTTCGTTTAGCCAGACCGTCTTCCAGGTCACGAGTTCCCAGATGGCTTTGCGGTAGATGACGGGGCTGTATTCGCCCTCGGTTTTGCCGTCGTCGCGGCCTACGCCGATGTAGGCCCATTCGTCGCCGAGGCCGGCCATGATGTCGACGATTTGCTCATTGAGCACTTCTTGCAGACAAATGAAGGCTTCAGGGTTGTGGAGCGTGTTGTAGTGCAGCTCATTTAGGATCAACTGTTTCCGTGTTGACCAGGGTTTCTCTCCTGTGGCCGGTGGATCGGCGGCGTAACGGATGTTGTGGGTTAAGATTCGGATTGGGAGAGTAGCAGCCTGTACTTTCATGATGATGGCGAGCAGGGTGGTGACGAGAAGCGCTGCGTTGAGCATCATGACGACAGGCTAGGTACGTATTGCCGGAACCGAACACGTGACGGAGTGAAGCGGGGACGATGCTCTCTCTAGTAACGACTGCGAAGAAGGCTTGTGGTAAGCAGATGAATATACCTAGGTAGGCCTTCACAGTATCGAGAGATGGCACTTGCACAGCCTTGATATGAACAACTGTAATTGACGCCTACCTACATCGCTGCGTCGAAGACTACCAACCCTACTTATACCTTACAAACGACACCAGCAACTAAGAGAAGAAGGAAGGTACTCAAAATAGTGCCGCATAATGACGAAGGCTTCAAACTATGCCAACCCTCCGTGCTATAATCCAAGAGGGGCCCCAAATTTCCGAGTTGTAGCCGACAAATGAGAACGCCGATAGACAAGCACGTTGTCCGCATGCGCAACTCCACGTGATCCGCTGTTTTTACACGGGCTTCTATACCCCAGATGCGCTTGCCAATATGAAAAAGACCCCGCTATGCTTATCTGAATATCATTTCCTGTTTGCGCAGACAGGCAATCTCAATGCTAAGCCTACAATGGCTGGCCAGTCCGTTTGCGCACGTTCTCCATGTGTACGCGATTCTTCAGATGTAATTCAAAATTATTGACCGTCTGTTCGGGCCCAGCATTGTACAACTTTCCTGGGCAGTCTATGCATCGAATTCGCGGGAGGAAATACGCTTTGTGGTTCGCTGGCAGGGGAGCGGTTGGAGATAGTGTATCTAACTTGACTTGTCTGGACACTATCTCGCCAGTCTTCGGGTCCTCGTGGCGCTCGTTCATGACTGCGTAGCGCATGGTAGATTCGAAGAGCTCCCCAGGGTTTTTGTCGCGTAGGTCTTGGAGCGCTTTTTGGAGCCATGGGGGAGTAGGAGGCTAATATGGGTCAGCGATGACTATAGAGACGCAGGAGTAGATCTTACATGTTGTGAAGTAGCGGGCGTTGGCCAAGGTGCCTCCAATGAGCCATCCTGTCTGTACTGCCATTGCTTGTTCTGTGTCGTTGGTGTGGGTGTGGAAGGTGGCTTCGGTGAAGCTTCAACAGATGTCGGTACTGTAGGTGTGGAGCGGGAAGGCATGGCGGGTGACGGTGGAGGAGGCATCGAGTTTGCGGTAGGCGTACTTCTCGTTGGTGGTTGCGAGAGTGTCATCATGGGAGTTCCGGCGGGCTTAACAAAAGCTTTTGGGTTCCTTACCCATTCTCTGAACTTTGCGGGCGATATGCGGAGTTTGACTATCAGTGATGTGGGTTCAGACACACTCTCTTCCCGCGCTTCGTACCGTAGAGATCTCGACGCCCTTGGCTCGTGATGAGGGGTTTGAATAGTAGAGACTTCGGGGGTTGCTGATCTCCCAATGGCAGATCGCATCGCGGCTTGAGCAGCAGTAGCAGCTCCGCGCATACCACGTGTACGAGCGGTACCTCCAGTCATCAGTTGAGCAGGTGCGGGAGACTCCATGACTGAATCATCACTATCTGAGTCGTCTGAGCTGCCCTCAGCACCACGACGGCGGCCTTCTCTAACTTTGCGCGTGGCCTTGAAGAGTTGGCTGTCCTCAATCGTTTCAGCAGCACCAGGCAGCACTGATGAAACGACCAACGTGCGAACAGTCCGTTGGCGGTCTTTGAGGTCTGGTAGGGCAGGGCCACCGCGTCTGTTGACGGAACGCTTCTGGCGTCGCTGTTCGCGCATGATTGAAAGTTCGGCTCGCTCCAGATCCGCATTGCTGAGTTCGTAGAGATAGGGTTGGTAGTCCTTTGTAGACTGCATCGGGCGGAAAACGGAAGGAAGTGGAGAGGCTAGGAAGTTGTCTTGTATGTCTGTATCCTCGACTGGTCGCCCGTCGAAGGGATGCCCGGTGATGTATAGACTCTTTGTAAACATCTGGCACTGCTCTCTTATGGAATGCGCGATTGCGGTTGTGAACTCTCCGGATAGGGACAAGTCGGCGGCCATCTGTCTCGCAAACTCCTCGGGCGCATTCAGAGGGTTGTTGATCTCCCACTCAAACTGGTCTACAAGGGTGTGCTGGCCAATGGTAATGTTCAGCTTGATCAATATGCGCATCTCGTCGTTCTTGTATGCCGAGTAAGGCTGATGCGGGTCCAATGGCTCGTCGTCGAAGAAGGCGTGGGGATAGTAGTCTTGGACCTGCTCGTGGATTTCGCGATCGATTTGCTGCATTACGTTCTGGCGCAGTTCGGGCGGTATTTGGAAGTCTTCGACGAGGGTTTGGGCGAAGAGCACGGGGTTGGTGACGCGGTCGTGGAGGTTCCAGGTAAAAGTATCGCGAAGCTTCAGTCTATCCAATTCGATATCCAAACGCACAGGTACCAGCTCCTCAATCTGGTCTGCTTGCTGGAGCCCCTTCTCTTTCGAAACCTTGAGCTGCGGTGCGAGTCGACGGCCAGCGCGCTTGGCATTTTCAGGGTATAGCAGCTTGGTTTGCGGTAGGGCGCGCGGGTCTCTGGGGTCGGGAGGTATCTCGGTCAGGCCGTTGCCGTAGCCAGCGTAGCCATATCCAAAGATGGCGCCGGGGTTCTGTCGCCGGACCGGATATACTTCGTCGCGGTAGAAATGGCGCAGGTCGTTGAGTTCGCCATAGACCCTCTCGGAATGTTTGTTGCGTTCGTACTTGTTTACACTGTCCAACAGGTCGCGCTCGATGTAGCGGTTGAGGAGGTGCGTCTGCGAGGCGGTGGGTTTCGCGCCGTCGTCGTGGGAAGGCGTGTGCGATGACTTGCGGGTGCCCGAACGCGATCGCTTTCTGCTGGGCGACGCGCCGTTGATGGCTTCGGGTTGCGCGGGCGATGCCATGTCGCCTTGCGCGCCTGCGAGGTTCAGACCAGAGGCGGCCATGACGGCCTTGGCTTTCTGCTTGCCGTCTCGAATCGCGTTGTTGTCGTTGGACGCGCCGTCGGGTCCATTGATGCTGGTCGGGGCGTTGGCGGGCTGGACAGCACCTTCACTGTTGATGCCGTTGGTGGACGCGCCGTGGGCAGGAGAGTCGGCTAGCGGCGGGGAGGGCATCGCGTAGGAACTGTGGATGCGCGCAGCAGGAGCGACCTGCGTGTTGCTGCCCTGGTTAGAGCCGAGGCATGGAGGCTGGAAGGAGTGATGGAGGCTCGAGTGGGTCAATGGGCGTCCCAAGCGGTCGCGCCTGCCAGAAGAAGGGGGCGGACGTGCGATGCGATGGCGACAGCAACACCCGCGCCGCCATCTCCAGAAAGCGCATGCATCGCGCCGCGATCACGCGAATAAATAGCAGCAATAGAAAAAACACATACCTTTGCGAGCATGCAATTTGCGCGTCGTCACAGGTCACAGGGCTGGGCTGGGCCTCTGTTTGGCTGTCCAGGGAAAGAAGTGCCGATCGGGTAGTCAAGCGCGCAGCAGCCCGTCTGTAAGCCTTTCACAGGCGAGAGTATTGGCAGAAACCTAAATCGGCGAAACACCTGCTGCGGTACCTTGGGCGGGGTCGCGGCCGTGGATAAGCTCGGAATGATGTGTTGTGTGTCAGGCAGAGGCATTGATGGATTTGCGCCTCGCTCCCACTTCCCGCCGCTTGCGAGCGCCGAGCCAGCCAGCCCATGACCACCTGGGCACACTGAAGCTCGTCGGCACGCTCCCACGCACCCAGCGTCTCTGCCCGGCGTGGTTCTCTTCACCAAAGCAGAGGCCATGCTCGACCGACTGTTCCACATAATTACACCTGCACTCCATCGTCTCCACGCAGCCCATCACGTGTGACGCCATGACGAATGCTAGCGCCTACCTAGACCGGTAAGCTCAGAGGAAAAGCCACTCGTGTAATGCAGTGGACCTTGTTCGTTATCGAATAAAGGTTGTATTTTATGGAAAGACCCGCCTAGTAGAAGAAGATAAGAAGCGTCTGGTAGTACACCTCGTCACCGCACTCTGACGCCCTCGCCTCCAGATCCATCCTAGTTGCATCAATGCTAGAAACTGACAATACCTAAACATTCCCATCCAGTCCCGGCCCGGACACGCCGCCGCTTACAAGTTCGCCGGCTATATGCGTTTGATTTGCTTGCGATAGATACTCAAACGTGCAGGTTCGCTGCTGAGACGTGCGTTCCCCTGTCGCTCAGTAACATCGCTGCTCTCGTTACATTCCCTGCGCTCAAAGCAATGAGTCAAGTCGAGTGAATACACTCAAGCACGCTGCGACAACCTATGGAAACATAGTCAGTGCTCTGTCATATTAAGGGGATGCAAAAGAGCAAATGACTTACCTCAAGCTGGAGCTCCTTATCCTTGGAACCATTAACTTCGTCCGTAATGAGCTGACCCAAGTTGGCGCCCACACCCTGCGAACCGCCCTGCCTCTTTGCAAACGGCCACTGCGAATATTCCGCCAGCAGCTCATCCACTTGAGCAAAAGCCCGTTCCCGTGCTTCGTGACCCAACGTTGTCAAGGCGTTCTCTAGGACGTTGGCGGCATAGGCGGCGCAGACCATGGTGATTGTTCGGAGCACTCTGAACTCCAACTCTTCGGGGAGGAATTGGCTGCCGGGAAGCACGACGGTACGGTTGGTGAGGACGTTCCGGACTCTGCGTCGAATCTCCTCCTTTGCGCCTCCGTCTGCGACGGGATGTGTAGCCATGTCGAACAGAAGGAAGTTCTTCTTCTCGGTGCGCAGGATGCCCTTGTCGACGAGGCCTTTGCATAGTCGTTCGCGTACTTGTTTTAGTTGGTAGCCGATCTTCATGAGGTTCCACGTCTCTCCTGTGTGCATAGTTAGTGCCGAGCACCAGCCTTGGGGTTGCGCGCCGCCAACGTACCGCTCATGAGGTCGATCCACGAGTTGACGCTCATCTTCTCGCTTGACTTCATCATCTTGAGGGCCTCGTCCAGTAGAACCTCTCCGGTCAACGTGTCATCAATCACCTCGATGACCCTGTCTGCGAGGGGGAACCGTCGCCGATTCGAGTCCTTTTGCATGCTCACGCGGCCTCGGAAGGCCAATTCTATGACAATGCAGCCTCGCAATGCATAGGAGATGTTGTCGTTCCAGAACGACAGGTATCCCTATTCTCACTCATCAGCCTGCTGCCCCTAGCCCACCAGCGCCCTGCGGTGTACACACCTGTTTGTCCTTCAGCCCCATGAGGATGATTTCCTCCATGAGCGTCAGCTTGGGCTGCTTGCTCCTCTCTGCATTTTCGCTGATGTCCCGGGGGTCGAATGCGATCTTGTGGCCATTCTCGGAGCTTTCGTAGGAGGTTTCGGGGGTGCGGTCGTCGTTGCGCTTGGGTGCCGGCGAGCTGACTCGGCTGCTCTCGTCTTCGCCGTTGCCTGCAGCGCCGCCGCCTCCTCTCCGGCGCGTCAGACCAGAGCTAGAAGCCATCGGGTGTGGTTGTGGAACGGGAGGGGGGTCTTGTTGAAATTATGCGTGATGCTCCTCAACGGGCGCAGGGATGAGGGCGCTTGGGCTGCGCATGCGCGGTGTCGGACTATGTGGGACTTTCGGTGAGTGCGATGTGGGAGAGGGTAGCGGGCACGGCGACGTAAAGAATAAGGGGTATGGCAAGGCGCCTGTGTGAGTTACGCGTTGGGGGTTGATTCTCGTGCCACATCAATCAGCGGACAGGGTGTCGGTCTCGGATGTGCCAAGATTAGTTACGCACGCTTCGGAGATCAAGTAAACAGGCGTCCAACAACACAATAGCCAAAGCACTGGGAGGTGGATAGCGTCAATTCTATCAGAAGTACACGGTGCCGACCCAGGCGACTGTTTTACACGGGGGCATATATATAGCGATGCCGGTAGGACCGACTGTCAATTCCACATCCATCATCTCCAATCCAGCGCGGCTCTCCAATATCATTTAGTGAGCTACAATGTGTTAGTTTGGGGCAACTTCGGGATTTTCAAGTTGCGACTCACCATCGGGCTGAGCCATGATGTAGTCCACTGCTTGCTTGACTGTGATATCATCAGTATGTATATCTCCGACCCTGCATCTGAACGTACCGCTGTGGATGGCATCGGCCTCCTTGTCGGGGATCTCAATGCTGAATTCCTGCCTCACTGTCAGATTTGCCTTCCGATTATCGCACGCGGACCGACTAACCTCCTCAATTGCCATGACCACCTCTACGGTATCCAGACTGTCGAGACCGAGGTCGTTGTGGAAGTGCGATTCGGCGTTCAGCTGCAAAATATAAGCCTTTGTCTCCAATCCCTCAAACGCGGTTGGTAGCTACCTTGGAGGCATCGGTAACCTGCTTCTGCGTTAGCCACTTTCTAAAATTCCCGTCGCATAACCATTACCTTGTCGAAGTTCTTCAAAAGGTCCATTATCCTGCCGGTAACCTCATCTTTTGACAGACCGGCGCTCGCGGCGTAGCATCGGACGGCCTGGAAGTATACGGAGGGGTTCATTTGCTTTGGCTGGACGAAGGAGCTTCGCGCAACGGGGCGAGCCATTGCGGCCTGGCATCGCGGGGCAGCGCGGACGGCGGACCGCGCGGACCTGAGGAGTGCTGTTCGGAACATGGTGGAGGATTTAGGAGGGTGTCGTGCGAGGTAGCAAGGTCGGTGGTGGTGGTGATGTTGATGCTCGACTAGAACTTCAGACTAAAGTTACATTACGTTAGTCAGCCGTCAAGAGCATTTCCGTACGAGTGAACAGGCGCACCTTGAATTATCGCGATAGGTAACACGGACATCCGAGAAAGACTTGAAAATCATTCATATACTCTGCTGCATCACCTGAGTCAAATTTCTGACCTCGGAGTTGCCTCCCACCGTTGTTGCCGTCATTCGACTTGTCGGCCAATCGCAGCTTCCGCGTTACAAGCGACGACCTCAAGTTTCGAGCTTGACGACAACCTCCATATCCGCCAGCAACCCCCCAGCCCGCCAGCGACTCCACCACGCTCACAATGGCCAGCGCAAAGCCATTGACAATGTTGGCACGCAGCCGCCCAGCGACCACGCTCCTTCGGTCACCACAGTTCGCGTCCGGACGCCTCCCCTCGCCCGCCACCGTCGCCTTCTTCTCTACCACCCTATCCCGAGCCGCCACCCCAGCAGGACCCCCGCCGCCAGGCTTCCGGTTACCCAAGCCCAAGCGATGGGATGAAGGAGAAGGTGCATTGGACCGCGCCGGCAAGTACTTCTTGCTCATGGAGATGTTCCGTGGCATGTATGTGTCGCTGGAGCAGTTTTTCCGCCCGCCGTGAGTACTCCAACTAGCAGACTATTCGGCTGCCACCCGGTCGCAATACGGTAATCTGACGTTTCTGAAGATACACCATCTTCTACCCATTCGAGAAGGGCCCCATCTCACCCCGCTTCCGAGGCGAACACGCCCTGCGACGGTACCCTACCGGTGAGGAGCGTTGCATTGCTTGCAAGCTCTGCGAGGCCATCTGCCCTGCGCAAGCCATCACAATCGAGGCCGAAGAGCGCATGGACGGTAGCAGGAGGACCACACGTTATGATATCGACATGACCAAGTGCATCTACTGCGGTCTCTGCCAGGAGAGCTGCCCAGTCGACGCCATTGTTGAGGGTATGTCGATACGTCCCCTGAGTACGCGGATCAAGTGTTAACATGATACAGGACCCAATGCCGAGTATGCGACCGAGACACGAGAGGAGCTACTTTACAACAAGGAGAAGTTGCTAGCAAACGGAGACAAGTGGGAGCCTGAGATTGCCGCAGCTGCTCGTGCAGATGCGCCTTACAGATAATGGACGGGAGCGATTTGGAATTACTGTACATATAAGGAGCGGTTGCGTCTGACACAGCCAGTCAGATTTCTTTTGTCAATGCATCAGTAAACAATACCAAGCTCACTGGGTCCATGTTTGAGAAGACACTGAGATACATGGACATGACGGACGCGCTATTGTGATGGAGTCCAACTAGATGCATTACTAATGATTTGCAAGACAGCATTGGCATTGAACGAACATTCTTGAGAGAAGACAACCTAATATTCAAGATCATAATACTCCTAACGCTCATACGATGCCTGCCATGATATGGTATCAAACGCCAAATGTCTGCCTATAGTATGCATGCCGCCACCCTTTCCTTTTATATACCTTGATTCCGCCCAGCCTCATGATCATCTCGCCTTGAACGTGCCTTCAAAGCCCGGTCGCTTGACCTTCTTGCCAGGCTTCTTGACCTTCTTTTTGCCCTTTTGGCCCTTGTCCTCCTTGCGCTTCTTGAGGTTCTCCTCCCTCTTCTTTTGTCTCGCGGCCTTTCCTTGATCGACATTGGTGAGCCTCTCCTTCCACTCTTGCTTGCTCTTATCCTTTTGTTTTTGTTGACGCTTCAAGCTCTTTTTCAGAAGGTTGACATCGTCGAACACCTTCTCGCCCTGTGCCCTCTTCTTGGCGGCCAGCCATAGATCCTTCTCTTGAATGTCCTTGCGCTTGTCCTCGTCGAAGGCGTTGATGCGAGCCTGCTTCTTCTGAGCAGCCTCTAGTGCTGTCTTCGCATCTGACTTGCCCTTCTTCTTCTTGGAGTCGAGGAATCCAGAGAGATTGCTCTCAAGCTGTTGGCCGTCCCATGCAATCTTGCCAAAGTTGAAGTTGCGCTCAGTCTCCGGCGACCTCGCTGGGAATACAGAAGGTGAGCCCGAACCGCCTCTTATCCGTGCGAGCTGCTCCTCTGCTTGTTGTCGTGCCTCATCCTCTTTCGCATCCTGACGCATGGCCTTCTTCGCAGCCTTCTTTTCAGCTTCCTTCTTCCTGCGCGCCTCGATCAGCTCTGCTCGGTTGCGTGCAGGACGTCCATCTGGGCCGTCGGCCTTTCGCGCCGCGCGCATTGCCTCTAGTTTCGCGTTCAACCGAGCGCGGAAATCCTCATGTTTTTGCGGATCGATCGTGTATGGCTTCTTAGCCTTCTTCTGTGGCGCTTCTTCACCGGACTGGGGTAGTGAAGAATTTGACGAAGCGGCGGAGGCGACGGAGGCTGTGGACGAGTTGGAATTGGCAGTAGTGGAGGGAGCAGTAGACTGACCCTCTTCGACGAGACCGGAGACGTCTAAAGCCTCTATGCGTTCGTCTGCATGTTCGAGTTCGTCAGCAGACGCGTCGTCTTCGTCGTCTTCATCTTCGTCCTCGTCCTTTTCAGGCTTTTCGGCGGCGAGACCTTGGAACTGCGTTGGCAGCGCTTTCTTGGCTTCCAGCTTTTGCTTGTTCTTAGCCTGCTTCTCCTTCCTCTTTTCTCTTCGCTTCTCTGCTTTCGCCGCGTGCTTGGCCTCGGCCTTGGATAAAGTGACTTCTTCGGTCTCTTCGACTTCGGGCTCAACAGGCTGTGTCTTTTGCTTCTTTGCCTTGCTCTTGATGCCCTCAAGAGGCTTCTCCTTTGTGATGTCCATGTCAAGGTCGGACGACTCGGGCTCGGAAACCTCCTCACCCTCCAATTCACGCTTCCGTTTTAGCGCGTTCTCGTCCATGACGTCTTTGGCGCTCTTGTGGGAGGCAGGATCCAGCTTCGCTCGCTTGGCTGCTTGTCGTTCTTCGAGAGTCTGCTTCTTGCCTTTCTTTTGCCATTGCGTCTGCAGACATCATGTCAGCATAAGGCGATGCCTGAGGGGAAGAGATGCATACGCTGGTGATGCTCTCATCCTTGCCATAGTAGTCTTTGGCGGGTATCAGAGACATGAGTCCCTCAAAGGCACGAGCATGGCTCTTTAGACGCTCCTGCAGCTCTCAGTTAGCGGCGAGAGCGGGCGACAGGAGGCGGGCGCGGTGCATACCTCGAGATTGTCGCCCATTGCGAGGACAATAGACGCAGGATCCTTTTCGTAATGTGATATGTCCTGATTCACACGGATACAGGGCGTAGAGTTGGCGGGGCGAGCGTGTCGTGTGCGGGTCGCGAAAATCGAGGTCAAAACGAAAGCCAAGATTTCGAGCAGACTTTCAGCGCTAGGGCCCTTCCAAGATCAGACCCACCCGCCAATAGACCCTCGCCGCCCCAGCCACCGACCATTTTGGCTTAACGCGAAGCAGACTCGCGTGCTCTTTCACCAGCATCAGCCTCGTTGCCGGCAAGGCGCCGCGAGTCCATGGATGGTGCGCGTCTGTCAGATCCGCTTGCCTCTCGCGCTTCACAACGATAGGCCAAGACAATTCATTTGTTGTACATGATAGTCGGTGGAGACGCGTACGCACAGCCACCGAGCCCAAGCACAACCTCGCCGTGGTCGCCTTGTATATATCCTAGGCAACGCCCTGCTAGCAATCACCTGACACCTCCATATACCCAGCGCTGTCCCGCATATCAAAACTGCGAATACCTTCGCTCTAATGGCTACGCCGATCATCGAAGCCAGATCTCTTTCATCGCTTACGGCTCTTGCCTCCAATCCACCAGCTTACCCAAGGAATCCTACTCATGAGAGGCATGACCCGCTAGTACTGTACATCGCCCGTGTCCCCGGCAGCAGAGGTACGGCTGTCAATATGTCTTCTCCTACAGTAAGCCTAACGTGCTTCAGATGTCTTCTTATCTCCGATGAAGCCGCGGGAAAAGGTGGTGACCGCAGAAGACATACAGAGCTCACTCTATTTCGTCCACGTTGAGCAACCAGAAGATGCTTACCTTGTCGACCCTCCTGGATTTCAGGATCCAGATTATGCGCAAGAGAGCCAGTTGTCTTCAAATCCCGTCTCTGCGCCCATAGTCCCAAGGAAAGCAGTACCCGGCATAAACACAGCTCCCATACGGAAGCCCGTTCCTAGCCCTCTAGCGCCCATCAATAACTACTCCAACAACCAAAACACTGATGCAGGCAACTATGCGCGGAGATCTGCAATGCTCGCCCCAGAGTATAGCCACAGCCCACGACGCTCATTCGATGCAAGCCAGTACCAACAGGAAAACCGAAGACCGACAGCTTCGCCACGCAGACGATCGGAGAACCCGTCACGCTCCAGTGCATCGCTCACCCTTATCCGGCGAGATCCCGCATCTGGTGCGCAATGGAATGTTGCTCGCATTGAGGACCCACCTATCCTAGATGTCTCGTCCGCCTCGAATGATCCTAGCATCAAGAAGAAGTTGGGAGCACCGATGTATATTGAAGTTTTCAATCCTGGCTACTCCAAATTTCTGCATTCCGACACCACTAACAAGCCCCCTTTGACAACACGGGATAGTGGCATGTCTATCCAGTCACGTAACGCAGAGTCAAAACAGCAGACGGGGGCTCATCTGTCTACGAACGAGAACGTGTTCCGTCGACGCATCTGGATGGAAGGATCGCAGCACATCGGCGGCTTTGGACATCGAAAGCTTAATTCGTATGACTACGATACCGGGCGTCCTGACTCACGGGGCAGTTACCGTACGCAGGCCAACTCTATGTCGACGGACATGAGACCATCTCCGACACCTGCGTTTGTGACTAGGCAAGACCAGTCATATGCTAGCATCCAGGTCTCGGATAGGCAAACCAGTTTTCGTGGTTATGTGTTCACGAGTCCGTGGAACGGACGATGTGAATTCACCACCGGAGTAGGCGGGGGATCTTTAAAGGTAATACCATTCCTACCACAGTGACGACCAGTAGATGATACTTACTCCCCTCGTAGTGTCGACACGTTGTTCCAGGCCTCCAAGGAGCGCCGCCTACAGCCATGACGGTTAGTGAGCTAAGATTCAACCTACCGAGTAGTCCAAAACCCACCACACCCAGAGGCGAAGAAGGATCAAAACGCTCGTCATTCTTTCGCAAAGCACGACACAGTCGCAACAATTCCTCTTTGTCTGTCAGTCGTGACGACACCGTCGAAGACGCTAGAGCCTCGTTGGATCGCTTAGACCTTTCTTTAGGTCAGGAGTTCGCAGGTGGTGGTTTTGGTGGTAAGCAAGCGAAACTGGGGAAGATTATTCTGGAAGACGAAGGTCTGAAAATGATGGATTTACTAGTCGCGGCGAATCTGGGATTATGGTGGAGAGCCTACGAGAAAGCGCTTGTAAGTGGGGGCACTACAGATACTCTACAATGAGCTGGCGACTCCCAGAGTTTAATGGTGGCGTAATAATCTCATCGTGTAATCCCGGGATCGCTTTGAGATGGTCACAGCCGTGGTGTTTCTCCAAATTTCAAATGTGTCATAGATGACACTGCCCATTCCGATATGCAACTGATGTATCAGAGGGTATGTATAGTGAAAGACGCGTCTGACAGTGCTGAACACGCAGCATCGAGCAGTCACCTGACGCATCTATCTACACATTCTAGATATGACTTGTTAGTCGCTGACTTTTCACGGCTAATCCCCAGAACCTATAAAGGTAGATTGACGGTACTCACTCCCCTTCTCCATCGTTCCACGTGCACGCATCTCTATTGAGCCCCTCTCTAGAACCAGGCTCTGTCTTCTAAATCGACATTTCATCCAAGACGCTTAACCGCAACCACACCACCACACACGTCGATCAGCTTAATAGTACAGTATGGCACGTCCTAAGAAAGCCAGTGTACCCACAAAAGCGTCCTTGTCCGATGGACGTGGACGGCGTAAAACTCGTAACAGCGCATCGCAAGAGGAGGAGGAGGAAGACATGCTCGATAACATCACTCTGGCTCCACCGGTCTCACAGCCAAAGCCGAAATCGAAACCGACCGTACCCTTCAAAATACCTGGCGAGTTCGATCATGTTGTGCTCAAAGACGAGGCTGATTGCAATGACTACATCTCTAAGACCGATGAATCCGAGGCGTATCTGCGAGATATGAAAACCCTAGAGGTCCATCTCGACACAAGCAAACTGGTCGCATATACTGAAGATCGTTTCGCAATTGTACTCAACAAGCTACATCCACGCCCCGACGACACCATCAACCCTCACGACTTACAAACCATCCGGATAGTCGTGAAAGGCAATATTCTCCTCACGCGTTACAGCTACCACCTCATATCGCCATTTCAATCTGCCTTCGTAAACGACAAACTGAAGAAGCTCGCAGACGGCAAACTATCCGATGAGGAAAGGGCAAAGCTACCCTACAAGCTCCACAGTACGGAGAAGCTTCTCGCCAATGCACTACTGGGCATTCGTGGAGTGAAGCAAGTTCATATCGAGGGGAAAGGGAAAGGAACTGTTGAAGCAGACTTTGCGGCGACTATCAAAGCTACACTGGTCCAGCCCGTGGGAACTGATATCTTGGAAGCAAGCGACGAAGAGTCTCCGTTCTCTACGCATGGGTTGAATAGGCTGGGATCGATCTACTCTAATGCGTATTCTGGGGACGCGTTGAATCCATACGCTTCTCTGGCTCCACCAGAAGTAGAGCTGGTGGATGATTCGGAGGGCTCAGACGACGATGCGCAGGCCGCTACTGTCACAGAACTACATGATCCTGTCAGACGTAGGCCGAAGGAGGATGTTCCCATCGTAATGTCTGGGCCGCAAACGCGTGGAACAATGGCTAAGCAGGCTGAAGAAGTGGAGGAGAAGGACGACGAGGACGAGGACGAGGACGAAGGCTATGGCTTGGGACTTACGGAGATGGTTCGGATTTACAAGCAGAAGTCGCGTCCGGGTGATATAGATTCGGATACTCTCAGATATGATGTGCTGCCTGTAGTTTTGACGGCGAGGGAGGAAGCGGTTGAGTTAGGCTGGAAGGTGTAGAAATCTGCTCACAAGTAGTATTGAGAGACTACTGCGAATGCTCTCAAAGTCGGGTCATGTCAGAGATAGAGAAACTGTGCTTCTTTGTAACGCTGCATTATCGGTATGATCAGAGATGTTCAGTCATCGGCAGTTCAGACATGCAGGCACATCTGTCTCGGTAGTCCTTGCACTTTGGATGCCGCGCCCATAGCCGCTTCCAATCACACGATACGTCGTTCTTCCCTTCCAGCCAACTCACCCACCTCGCCAGGTCACTTGGAAGCATCGTTCCTTCCGCCACGCACCGAGCTAGACGCTTACGATAAGAAGCCAGCAATGACACCCAAAACCTGCACTCTTCATCCACCAACAATTTAGACAAGACACTCCTAGCTTCCAGCAGCATACTTTGAGCCTTCCTACTCCTCTCACCTCCACGCCTATCAACTCAGACTACGTGCTCGCCGCATCGTCAGCTTGATATGTATTCGGTTCACCTCAAGGCCTCTTCCCTGTTCACCACGATGCTCGTCACCGGCATCATCCTGATTCCCAGTGCCATCGCAACACCCGCCGCCGTCCAGGACCTTACCGATCTGAGAAGCGTCATCAACTCGGCAGCAAGTGCTATCGGAGATCCGAACAACCCTAATCGAGGCTTTGGCTTCAACCTCTTCGGCGGCAGCGGTCAGATGGGCACTGCAGACCTCGTCAATAACATCACCAACACTATCCTGCGAGGGAAGTTCCAACTAGACACGAACAGGGTACGTCTCTTGACCGCTACCTCCAGCAGTCTGATAACCAGCACTAACAAGCACCAACAATAGACATCATGGCTCCTGCCCAGCAACTCCACCCTCAACGGCACCCTACCCACCTCCAGTGTGCCCACACTCGCAACCCCCACGCTCCCCCTAACAGCCAGCCTCGCCCTGCCAACCAGCATACCCACCACAACACCCACGCTCGACAACCTCACCATCGACCTCACGTCCCCCTACATGGATTACGTGCAATCCATGCCCAACCTAGCCAACAGCCTCATAACCCTCGGCCGGTCCTACCACCGCGAAATGAACAGCCCCGTCAACGAAGCCGTCGCCGGTCTCCAGCAAAGCCTCACAACCTTCCAAACCGCACTGCTCGAAAGCGAGCTCATCAGCGCTCAGGCTGTTATACGCACCATACGTGCCAGTAGTAGCTTGGAGAGTGCGGCGACGGCGTGGAGTCGCTTTCTCAACTTACCGGGTGGGGGTAGTGTCGATGATGAAGCAGGGTCTGCTGCTCCGTCATCCCCATCATTGCAAGGAGTGGGGAGGTCGAGTGTGTTGGGCAGAGCGGAAGCGAAGAGGCCGCCACCTGGGAATGGGAGGTTCTACAGCCATCTTGAGTTGTGGAATCGGTCGGAGCCTAGGCCGAGGGTGTCGACGGAGGGGAAGTTCTCGCCACACGACCTTGTTGTGCAGGCTGAGGAGAAGCGTGTGAGCACTACTGCTGCAGAGAAGGCGAGAGTGGGGAGGCCTTTTGTTGTTTGAGTTGGCTCCTCTTGTTCCTCTACTTTCTTCCTCTCTTCAATGAATCGTAATATGAACAAGCTCTTTCTTCCAAAGCTTCCTCATACGCGCTGAATACGCTCAACATTCCTTTCTCTCTCTCTCTACACCTCACCATACACACGTAAACGCACATTGCAACGTTTGAAAAAAAGATGCTTCGATAATAATAAAGCTAAGCTAAGATGAGTGTGGCGGGGGATATCTTCGAAAGACAGTATGCAACGCAGAGACCAAACAAACGACGAACAACAAGACTGAAAACCAAAAAGAGAGCCAAGCTAAAGCGCCATCCAGCGCTCCACAAGGGCGGGGGATAATAAACAAAGATCCATAACCTCATGACTTGACTGTGACTGTGACTTGTGACTAGAGGAAAAGCCGCCAGGAAACACCAGTCCCCCTACCTCATCCCATCGCTCGTTTCTTTCTTCCTTTCTCTCTTTTCTCTTCGCGTTCTTGAGTCATGATGCCATGTGCGGGTGAACACCGAACCGGACCGGACCGGGCCTATTTCCACAGGTTGCCTGATATAAACGCTTCAGGAAAGAAAGAAGATCTCCATCTCATTACAAATCCTTGCATTGAATCGAAAAGAACCATATTCACATACAGCTAGAGGGGTTTGAATGATCCTCTCTCTGTTTAGACCAAAACCCATTCGCTGCCCCTCTTGATGAATTTATCCAACATCATGGTGACGTCGGTGAGGACGAAGCGGCAGATGTAGAAGCCGAAGAACTCTGCGGCGTGGCGGGTTGATAGCTCGAGACCGACGTGGGTGGGGGAGGAATGCTTGAGACCTGGGTCTTCGACTTGGCGGGCGATTTGGTCTATTGGAAAGGTTAGTACGTAACGTCATGAAGAAAGGATATGTAGGAGTAGAGACGTACCCAATATTTGGACCGCATCGAATAACCTTGCCAAAGAACCCATGTAACCTGCATTAGGTCCCTCAAACACAACACCGGAAATGTCTCGCTTTGCGAAACGGATGCTGGGGAGATTGGTCATGGGAAGGGTGGACATGACCAGAGTGTCCTTGGGCACTTCTGCACTCTTGGCACCACCAGCCATGCCCGCGAGGTTGACGCCCGAATTCTTCGATCGGAGTTTCCGCCACGAAGCAAGGTAGGATTTGCCCTGGGCAACAGCACCCTTGTGTTGGTGATCCACGGACCCATGCCTGCCGGAGCCGTCTGTTGAAGATGCACCTTCGCCGACGGTGGTCGCATCTCTGAACAATGCGGTTACGGATTGTACACCAACCTCGTTGCCTAGTTTCTTTGCTAGTTGGGCTTGCACCTGGTCGAGCACTAGTTCCAAAGCCTGCATCTCTTCTAGGACAGCATCCGCGTCATTTGTGTCCACAGACGCTAACTTCTGGAGGGCTGCTGTGAGCATATCGCAATTGGCGATCTTGTCCTCGATGTTCTTTAGCTTGACGCCCTTTACTCGCCAGACATCGCGGGGAATAAAGAGTTTAGTTGAAAGATAGCCACCGCGGGGATGCGCAATAGTTTGGTAGAAGCATCGCATTAACCAGAACGGTCTCAAGAGGTACGAATCCGGACATGGCTCCAGAGGGATGGGGGCGTTCGTGATGGCTGGGCTTGGCGAACCCGGCGAAAACGGCGAGTGGATATCACTCTCGAACAAGTGCATCCCTCCACTCGGTAGACCGTCGACGTTGAATGTCGGAACGCTTGGCGTTGGCATTGCCAGGCTGACATTGCTGGGTTTCCTGCCCGTAATGGAAAATGTCGTGCTCAGTGGCGTTCCTATAGATGCATCTGAGCCATCTGGGCTGGATATTGACAAGTTGCGCTGTTTCAGACTAAGGGAGGACTTGTTCTTCCTGATTCCCATCGCTGAGGTTTTTCCGGTCTTTGGCGAGCCTGGTACAAGACCAGCTTCGTTGGAAACAGCATGGCCAAGGGCGGGCGTCGCGGGCGAAACCGTGGCAGCAGTGTCTGCGGGACTGTAAAGGGCGGGCTGAGGTGATGGAGCTCGAAGACCAGATTGTTGGGACGCTTGCGGCAGAGCGGGAAGCTTGAACGCGGAGTCTAGGGTAGGCTTGGTGGTGCTGAATGTTGGTGCCGCAGACTTGGGTTGGACGGGGAGGTCGGTAGGCGCATCCTTAGCTGGCACCGGAGGCTTCTCCGTGTGAGGTGCAGGCGGGACAGGCGGTACAGAAGTCTCTATTTTCAAAGACTTTGCATTTTGTCCCGATAACCTGCGGCTTCGTACTGAGGCTGCGTCCTTGGTTGCAGTAGTGGGGCGTGGTGTGGTTTCTGCGGTGTCGATCGTTTGCGATGCTTGTGACTCGGGAACAGTAGGCAGCGCAGGCAGAGCGCCAGATGGAGCAGGCACCGCGGGCGGGGAATGAGCGGGTGGTTGCTTGGATGTCGGGTGCATCAACTCTGCAACGGTCGAGAGTGACGTGCCACCCGTCGTTCTGTGTGACGACACGGAGCTGTTGTACGCGCTTCCAGAAAAGCCACTCGAGTCTGACTGCCGCGGTAACGACGACTTTGTCTGCAGATCGAAATCAAACCCATCCAGCATGTACTCTCGCGTCATCTCGTCTAGTAACCGCTCTTCCTCTTCCGCCTCATCGTTGAACCTGATCTCGGCGCTTTCGCGCACATGCGGAAGTCCCTCGCCCCGAAGCTGCGTCTCTTTGTAACGATACTTGGCCGCAGCGATGGCCTCTTCGCGTTCCGCCTCCCGCACGCGCTCCTTGGCTAGTTCCACGTTACGCAACTTGGTCGCTATTAAATCGCCAGGTGTAGAAATGTCGTCATCATAAGGTTCGTATCCGTCGTCGTACGCAGCTTCGACGGCTGCATCAAGCGCCGCATCGAATTCTGCCTCGGTTCCTCCGCTGTTGTTTCGTAAATGTTTTCGGCGCACTCCCCCAGGAGACATGGAGTGAACCGAGGAAGAACACGAGGATCCACCAGACTCATCAATAGTGTCAAGCCACGATGTTGACTCATTGCTATGAACTCGCTGGTGATTTGACTTGACGGGCTGCTGTGGTCGTAATAAGCGGCCATACTCTTCGGGCTCAGACTCTTTACCGCCAAGGAGGGGAGATTTGGATCGCTTTGGAGAAAGCGGCGGGGGCATATACACGCGGTCCATTAACGATTCGGCAGTCGAAGATCGAACAGATGTTGTGGAGGGTGCAATTCGCCCAGGCGGGGGCTGTAGGTTGAATTGCGGGTTCTGCATGCCTCTTTGCACATCGCGGATGGCGGTGGAAATGACCGACTCACGGGGGCCGTCGGAGCCCTTACGGAGAGGCAGCTGTTGGTTGGGCGGCGGTGTAGGCTCGCCGGCTGGAGGGGTATCATATATAGAACGATCGTTAACTATGCGAGATACTGTGGCAGTTTCAATAACTGCAGGTGGTTCATCGTCGTCAAGGAGCAGCATTGAGCGGTGTTCGTCCAGCGATTCCCCGCTCATAGGGCGTGCTGGTAGTGATTTGCCGCTGTGGTTAGTGTAGCCGGGATCTAGCCGTCGCAGCTCTTCTATGCGGTTGGTATATGTTACTCGCTACTGGGGTTAGTAAATAATCTTTACCAATAGAGTATCCAGTGACTTACAATGGCATCCAGCTTCCGCCGGTCCTCTTCCTGCGAGCTGCGGATCATGACCTGCTGGAGGAGCTTGCAGGCATCCTCGTACGCCTCCATGGCGCCCTCGAAGTTTTGGGCATTGTCGAGCAGGACAGCGGTATTCGCCTTTTGGAGGGCACGCGACAGCATCGTCTTCTTGTCCTTCTCTCTCCGCTCGCGTGTGCGGGGAGGAGTGCCCTGGTAGTTGTCGTCTAGCCTAGCGCTGGCGTTGCTCTCGTTGCGATGGTGATCCCTGCTGGGGCTGCGGACATGGGCTCTGCTCCCGGACCGGAACTGTTCTCTGCTCTGACTCCTGGAGTGGTCCCGTGAGGCGGCTTGTCTGTGACCCGCACTCGGTGGGGGCTTTTGGACGGGATCCCTAGTTGCTGCAACGGAGGGTCTGCGTGCTGTAGAGGGCCGAGCTGCGCCCGAAGTGGAGTCGTGCCTTGGGTCAGCCTCCTGAAGAACAGCAGGCGACCCGAGGGGCGACTTGCCCAGCACCTTTTCGGCCTTGGTGGTGCGAGACGGAGGTCTTTGGGAAGGCGGAGGCTGCGTGGGCTTGGAGTTGAAGTAGTCGCGCTGCTGGAGGCCGGAGAGCAGGTTCGGGGTAAAGAGGCTAGATGCCGAGGGCGAGTTGTTGGTGGTCGAGGTGCTCGTGGGGGTGTTGGGGTCGTAGACGGTCGAGGGCAGCAGGATCGGGGGCAGCTGGGGCACCTTGGGGGCGGCTGTCACCGAGGATGGGGGGTCGTATGCGGGAGAGCGTGGGCGGTGTCGGCGGGGGCTCGCGGTGGGCGAGCGAGGGGCAGAATTGGCGATGCGAGCGGGCGAGTCGGGGCCATTGGCGGCAGCGGCAGGCGCAGCGGTGTTGGGCGTGGTGATGCTCAGCTTGCGCGAGAAACTCGGGTGGTGCTGGTGGTGCGGTTGGTCGCTCCTGCTGGCCTGGGTGCCCGGGGCCTGGGACCAGCGGTTCAGATTGGCAGAGGCGGCGGCGGCGGCGGCAATGGCCTCTGCAGCGCCGTTGGCAGCGCTGGAGCGGCGTCGTGAGGTCGTGGCCGGGGGCGGCGTGGCCTGGATGTTCATGTTGTCGGCGTCGACGTCGACGGTTGTCGAGGCTATGGAGCGTGTCTCAGGCCAAGCCAGCGGTTAATGCACGGCGCATGCAGGCATGGTTGCCACAAGCAGGAACGCGCTCAGGCGGGCGGCGGAGGTGCTTGGAGGCGGTGCGGCGGGCGGCGTGCTCGCGAGCGGTGGTGCAATGTGCTGTGTATCTCGAATATGTCGTACTGGAACGAGCAGCGGCCCTGTGGAGAGCACAATGCCGCCAAGTCGCAACCCGCAAAGCCACCCAGGGGT